TGGGTCAACCAGGAAATTAAAGAAGAATTAAAAAAATTCATGGAAACAAATGAAAATGAAAACACAACTATTGAAAAATCTTTGGGATACAGCAAAGGCAGTCCTAAGAGGAAAGTATATAGCAACACAAGCCTTTCTCAAGAAACAAGAAAGGTCTCAAGTACACAACCTAACCATACACCTAAAGGAGCTGAAGAACAGCAAATAAAGCCTAAACCCAGCAGGAGAAGAGAAATCATAAAGATCAGAGCAGCGATCAATGAAATAGAAACTGAAAGAACAGTAGAACAGATCAATGAGACTAGGAGCTGGTTCTTTGAAAGAATTAACAAGATTGATAAACCCCTGGCCAGACTTACCAAAAAGAAAAGAGAAATGACCCAAATCAACAAAATCATGAAAGAGGAGAGATCACAACCAACACCAAAGAAATACAGACAATTATAAGAACATATTATGAGTAACTATATGCCAACAGATTAGATAATCTGGAACAAAATGGATGCATTCCTAGAGATGTATCAACTACCAAAACTGAACCAGGAAGAAATAGAAAATCTGAACAGACCTATAACCACTAAGGATATTGAAGCAGTCATCAAAAATCTCCCAACAAAAGCCCAGGGCCTGATGGCTTCCCAGGGGAATTCTACCAAACATTTAAAGAAGAATTAATACCTATTCTTCTGAAACTGTTCCAAAAAAATAGAAATGGAAGGAAAACTTCCAAACTCATTTTATGAGGCCAGCATTACCTTGATCCCAAAACCAGACAAAGACCCCATCAAAAAGAATTACAAACCAATATCCTTGATGAACACAGATGTAAAAATTCTCACCAAAATACTAGCCAATAGGATCCAACAGTACATTAAAAGGATTATTCACCACGACCAAGTGGGATTTATTCCTGGGCTGCAAGGTTGGTTCAACATCCACAAATCAATGAATGTGATACAATACATTAATAAAAGAAAGAACAAGAACCATATGATCCTCTCAATAGATGCAGAAAAAGCATTTAACAAAGTACAGCATCCTTTCTTGATCAAAACTCTTCAGAGTATAGGGATCGAGGGTACATACCTCAGTATCATAAAAGCCATCTATGAAAAACCCACAGCGAATATCATTCTCAACGGGGAAAAACTGAGAGCTTTCCCCCTAAGGTCAGGAACACAGTAGGGATGTCCACTATCACCACTGCTATTCAACACAGTATTAGAAGTCCTAGCCACAGCAATCAGACAACAAAAAGAAATCAAAGGCATCCAAATCGGCAAAGAAGTCAAACTCTCACTCTTTGCAGATGATATGATACTTTATGTGGAAAACCCCAAAGACTCCACCCCAAAACTGCTAGAACTCATACAGGAATTCAGTCAAGTGGCAGGATATAAAATCAATGCACAGAAATCAGTGGCACTCCTATACATCAACAAAGAGACAGAAGAAAGAGAAATTTAGGAGTCGATCGCATTTACAGTTGTACCCAAAACCATAAGATACCTAGGAATGAATCTAACCAAAGAGGCAAAGGATCTGTACTCAGGAAACTATAAAATACTCATGAAAGAAATTGAGGAAGGGGCGCCTGGGTGGCTCAGTCGTTAAGCATCTGCCTTCAGCTCAGGTCATGATCCCAGGGTCCTGGGATCGAGCCCCGCATCGGGCTCCCTGCTCGGCGGGAAGCCTGCTTCTCTCTCTCCCACTCCCTCTGCTTGTGTTCCCTCGTTCGCTGTGTCTCTCTCTGTCAAATAAATAAAAATCTTTAAAAAAAAGAAATTGAGGAAGACACAAAGAAATGGAAAAACATTCCATGCTCATGGATTGGAAGAACAAATATTGCGAAGATGTCAATGCTACCTAGAGCAATCTACACATTCGATACAATCCCCATCAAAATACCATCCACTTTTTTCAAAGAAATGGAACAAATAATCCTAAAATTTGTATGGAACCAGAAAGGACCCCGAATAGCCAGAGGAATGTTGAAAAAGAAAAGCAAAGCTGGCGGCATCACAATCTGGACTTCAAGCTCTATTACAAAGCTGTCATCATCAAGACAGTATGGTACTGGCACAAAAACAGACACATCGATCAATGGAACAGAATAGAGAGCCCAGAAATGGACCCTCAACTCTATGGTCAACTCATCTTCAACAAAGCAGGAAAGAATGTCCAATGGAAAAAAGACAGTCTCTTCAACAAATGATGTTGGGAAAACTGGACAGCCACATGCAGAAGAATGAAACTGGACCATCTCCTTACACCACACACAAAAATAGACTCCAAATGGTTGAAAGACCTAAATGTGATACAGGAGTCCACCAAAATCCTAAAGGAGAGCACAGGCAGCAACTTCTTTGACCTCAGCCGCAGCAACTTCTTCCTAGAAACATTGCCAAAGGCAAGGGAAGCAAGGGCAAAAATGAACTATTGGGACCTCATCAAGATAAAAAGCTTTGCACAGCAAAAGAAACAGTCAACAAAACCAAAAGACAACCGACAGAATGGGAGAAGATATTTGCAAATGACATATCAGATAAAGGGCTAGTATCTAAAATCTATAAAGAACTTCTTAAACTCAACACCCAAAGAACAAATGATCCAATCAAGAAATGGACTGAAGACATGAACAGACATTTTTCCAAAGAAGACATCCAAATGGCCAATAGACACATGAAAAAGTGCTCAACATCGCTCGGCATCAGGGAAATCCAAATCAAAACCTCAATGAGATACTACCCTCACACCAGTCAGAATGGCTAAAATTAAGAAGTCACGAAACGACAGATGTTGGCGGGAATGCAGAGAAAGGGGAACCGTCCTACACTGTTGGTGGGAATGCAAGCTGGTGCAGCCACTCTGGAAAACAGTATGGAGGTTCCTCAAAAAGTTGAAAATAGAGCTACCCTACGACCCAGCAACTGCACTACTGGGTATTTACCCCAAAGATACAAATGTAGGGATCTGAAGGGGTACGTGCACCCTGATGTTTATAGCAGCAATGTCCACAATAGCCAAACTGTGGAAAGAGCCAAGATGTCCATCGACAGATGAATGGATAAAGAAGAGGTGGTATATCTATATATACAATGGAATATTATGCAGCCATCAAAAGGATTGAAATCTTGCCATTTGCAACGACGTGGATAGAACTGGAGAGTGTTATGCTGAGCGTAATAAGTCAATCAGAGAAAGACATGTATCATATGAAAGACATGTATCATATGATTATATGAGGAGTTCTTTACCTCAGGAAACAAACTGAGGGTTGCTGGAGGGGGGGTGGGAGGGATAGGGTGGCTGGGTGATAGACATTGGGGAGGGTATGTGCTATGGTGAGCGCTATGAATTGTGCAAGACTGCTGAATCACAGATCTGTACCTCTGAAACAAATAATACATTATATGTTAAAAAAAAAAAGATAGCAGGAGGGGAAGAATGAAGGAGGGGAAATCGGAGGGGGAGATGAACCATGAGAGACGATGGACTCTGAAAAACAAACTGAGGGTTCTAGAGGGGAGGGGGGTGGGAGGATGGGTTAGCCTGGTGATGGGTATTAAAGAGGGCACGTTCTGCAGGGAGCACTGGGTGTTATACGCAAATAATGAATCATGGAACACTACATCAAAAACTAGTGATGTAATGTATGGTGATTAACATAATAAAAAAAAGATTTAAATATAAGACCTAAACCATATAACTATTAGAAAAAAACATAAGGAAAAGGTCCACTGACCGTGGTCTAGGCAATGAATTTTTAGATACAACCCAGAAAGCAGGCAACTAAAGCAAAAAATAGACAAATGGGACAGCATAAAACTAAAAAGCTTCTGCACAGCAAAGGAAAACGTCACCAGAGTGCAGAGACACCCTATGGAATGGGAGAAGATATTTGCAAACCATGTATGAGATAAGGGGTGAATATCCAAAATTTATAAAGAATGCAACCAATTCAACAGGTAGAACACAACCAACCCAATTCAAAAATGGGCAAAGGACCTGAATAGGCATTTCTAAACAGAAGACCTACAAATGACCAGCAGATATATCAAATGATGCTCAACATCACTTATTATCAGGAAAATGCAAATCAAAACCATGATGAGACATTACCTCACAACTGTTAGGATGGTTATTATAAAAAAAAAAAAAAAGGTAACAACTGTTGGCAAGGATGTGGAGAAAATGGAACTCTTATACACTGTTGGTGGGAATGTAAACTGAATGCAGACATTATGTAAAACAGAATGGAGGTTCCTCAAAAAACAGAACTACCATATGATCGATCAATTCCACCTCTGGGTTTATACCGGAAATGAAAAGGATACTGAGGAGATAACCTGCACTGCCATGTTTACTGCAGCATTATTCACAATAGTCAAAATATGAAAACAACCCAATGGTCAATGCACAAATGGATGAAGAAGATGTGGGGTGTGTATAGACATATACACAGGAGTATTATTCAGCCATGAGAAGGAAGGAAATCCTACCATTTCTGATAACATGGATAAACCTGGAGGACATTGTGCTAAGTGAAATAAGCCAGAGAAAGATAGACATTATATGATCTCACTTCTAGGTGGAATCTTTGAAAAAAAAAAAAAAAGTAGAACTCATGGAAGTAGAGAGCAGAACAGTGGTTACCAGAGGCTGGGGATGGGGAAAATGGGGAGATGTTGGTCAAAAGGTACAAAGTTGCAATTACAAAGGATGAGTAAGTCCAGAGATCTAGACTATCTATTACTATAGTTAATAATACTGTATTGAATACTGGAAATACACTAAAGGAATGGATTTCAGGTGCTCCCATCACAAAAGAAAAAGGTAACTAGATGAGAAGACAATGTTAATTAGCTTCACTGTAGTAATCAATCACTTCACTATGTATATACAGGTCTATCAAATCATCATGCTGTATACTTCAAATATGTACAATTTTTATTTTTTAAAAAGGATCTTGCAAAATAGAGAAAAAAAGTTAAGCTTACCTGAGCAAGGAGAATATTTATAACTTCTTCATTTTCATTCATTTCTTCTTTGGAAACATCCTCTTTTGAAAGACTGGCGATCTCTTGTGCAATCTTGGTTTCGCACTCCTGTCAAATAAGACAAATGAAAAACTGGTCAGCCCAAATGTAACATATATCCAACAATTTCACACCATCACCATGGAGAAGTTTCCTTCTCATTTCCTAGAGTTGAAAAAGTAACAGTAATTCTCCTCTGGATAGAGGAGAATTTGTTAACTGGGCTTGGAAAATAACATATGGATCTTAGTTTGTGGCTGCACCATGAAAAATGTTCAATTCTGGTCAATGTGCTCACCGTTTCTGGAACCCATCCATGTAAAATTACTTTCTGTGACACTTTTTTTTTTTGGAGGGTGTCAGTTTTAAGTACACAATTAATTTTGATAAATAAATACAGTCAAGTAACCACCACCACAATCATGATATAAACACTTCCATCACCACACAAAGTACCTCTCACCATCTGCTGGCACCTGGCAACCACTGACCTATTTTCCATTCCTATAGTTTTGCCTTTTCTTGAGTTTCATATAAATTGAATCAATCCATAAGAAATCTTTTTTATGTGGCTTCTTTCACATAGCATAATGCTTTTACTATTCATCTATTTTGTTGTCTATATTAGTAGTTTGCTGAGTAATATGCCATGATACACCAATTTGTTTATCCATTCATCAGCTGATGGACATTTGGGTCCTTCCTAATTTTGAGCTATTATAACTACAACTGTTATGAACATTTCACACGGATATGTTTTGTGTGGGTATGTGCTTTCTTCTTTTAAATACCTAAAAGCAGGATTGCTTGGTCATATGGTAACCGTATGTTTAACTTTATAAGAAACTGCCAAACTGTTTTCCAAAATTACTATACCATTTTGCATTACCAAGAGCAACAATGAGAGTTCCAGTTGCCCCATGTTCTTGTCAACACCTGGGATTTTTATTTTTATTTTTTTTTAGACAGGGACAGAGAGGGAGAGAGCAGGGGGAGGGGCAGAGGGAGCGAGAGAGAATTCCAAGCAGGCTAGACACCCAGTATGGAGCCCGATACGGGGCTCTATCTCATGACCCCAAGATCATGACCTGAGCCAAAATCAAGAGTCAGATGCTTAACCGACGGAGCCACCCATGTGCCCCAACACCTGGTATTTTTAATTTTAGTCATTCTTGGTGGTGTGTAGTGGTAGCTCATTGGGATTTCAATTTGTATTTCTTTAATGACTAATGATGTTGAGCATCTTTGCATGTGCTTATTTGCCATCTGTACATGATTTTTGGTAAAGTGCCTGTTCAACTTTTTTATCTTTTTAAAACTGAATTCTTATTGTAGCAAATGTACCATACTCTGGTGGGAGAGCAGAATATATACAGGAAGTCTCTGTACCTTCCTCTCAATTTTGCTGTGAACCTAAATCTGCTTCAAAAAAAATAAAAGTCTAAAAAAAAAAAAACCCTTGAATTGTATTCTTCTTAAGTTATGAGTTTTTTATATATTCGAGTCCTTTATGAGGTATGTGTTCTGCAAAATATCTTGTCACAGCCTCTGATTTGTATATTCGTTTTCTTAAGTGTCTTTTGAAGAACATGTTTTAGCACGCTGATAAAATGTAATCTAACAAATATTTTTTTTAAGATTTTATTTTTGCAAGAGAGACAGAGAGAGAGAGAGTGAGCGCATGACCACGAGCAGGGAGCCTGACACAGGGCTCGATCCCAGGACCCTTAACTGACTTAGCCACCCAGGCGCCCTAACAAATCTTTCCTTTACAGTTCATGGGTATTGTGTCCTATTTAAGAAATCACTGCCTAAGCCAAAGTCAATAAGATCTATGCTTTCTTCTGGAAGTTTTTTTTTTTTTTTTTAGGTCTTAACATATGATTCATTTTGAGTTAATTTTTGTATATGCCTTGTGGAAAGAGTCAAGGTTTTGTTTTGGTTATTCTTTTTTGGCATATAGATATCAGTTGTTCCAGCACTATTAAAAAGAAAATCCTTCCCCAGTGAATTGTCTTATCATCTTTGTTGAAAATTAACTGTCCATATATGGTGTGGGTCTATTTCTGGACTTCCTATTCTATATGTCTACTTTTATAAAATATCTACTGTCTTGGTTACTGTAGCTGAATAGTAAGCCTTAAAATCAGATAGCATGAATCCTCCAATGTTGGTTTTTTTTCCACAGTTGTTTAGATCATTTGTATTTCCATATAAGTTTTAGAAGAGCTTGTTAATTTCCACAAAAAAACACCTGTTGAGATTTTGATTGGGATTGACTCCACAGATCAATTTGAGAACACCTAACATCTTAAAAATATTGAGACACATCACTCCATTTATTTAGGTCTTTATTTTTCCTTTTAGGTCTAGTATCCAACTGCTCATTGCTAATATCAAGATATACAACAGACTTCTGTGTATCTAATCTTGTATCCCACGACCTTGCTAAATTCACTTGTTAGTTTTTTTTTATAGATTCCTAAGGATTTTATATGTAGACAGTCACGTAGTCTATGTATAAAGACTTTCTTCTTTCCAATCTGTATACCTGTTTCTCTTGCTTTATTGTACTAGCTAGAATGAACCTCCAGTAAAATGTTGAACAGAGTGGTGAAAGCAGAAATCCTTGCCTTGTATACCCAATCTTAGGAGAAAGTATTCAGACTTTCACTGTTATGTACAATATTAATCATAGATTTTTTTCATAGACACCCTATATCAGGCTGGGAATGACGTTTGCTGAGAGCTTTTATCATGAATAAGTGTTGAATTCTGCTAAATGCTTTTCTGCATCTACTGACATGATCTTGTGGTTTTTCTTACTTTTTAGTCATTAATATAATGAATTATATTACTTCCATCTTTAAAAATAATTTATTCCTCGATGGGCATTGGGGGGGAGATAAAAAAATAATTTATTCCTCAAAGTTGAAATCAACTTGACAGAACCTTTTGAAAATTTATGAATGAATGAGCAGGTATAACAAGATAGCATAAAGAAAATTGGTAAAGGTAATCTATCCCTTTCTATAATGACTCTGGTTTGCTCTGTCACAACTCCTTTATCCAAGACAGAAGCAGAAGTAAGAGTAATGAAAACCAAACATACATTATCCCTGTCATAGGTCAGAGACCCCTCATTTAAAGCCTGGTGGGCAATGCCATATGGTTAACATTTACAACCATGAGGGCTGGTCGGTCAGTCACTGATTCCAGGCTGAAGCATGAAGGGAACAATAATGACAACAGGCATAGGAAGCAAAAGATAGATAATCTGGTAAGCAGGAGAAAAGAATGAAGAAAAATACACAAAGGCTTTTGCTAGTCTGCCAGTCCTGGAGTGCATGTGTAAAAACCCCATGAATGTTTCCTTTATGACAAAGCTAACCTCCACATAAATGCAAATCTCTAACCTCAAAGCAACATAAACACATGGGTTGTCTTTGTCTGTTAGCACAACCACAACGATCACACTCTCCCAGTCTAATAATAAATGCTAACTAATATTCCTTGGAAGTAATATTTGGGGCCTGGCACTGAGATCTGAGATCTTAGCTTTGGTGTGGCTGAGCAACTCACAGTCCCAGAGCCAAGCAACACACACTAAGCCAGAAGAGATCAAAAGTCTAACTCGTGTACCCCAAACTTATCAGGAGTCACATGCTAGTCTTCCTATTATAGGTGAATAAAATTCCTCCTAATCTTCAGTACTTCTTTGTGTTTCCAAAGAACTGACTCAAAGGCCTCAAATTCCCCAGCCATCTCTGAAATGTCTCACTATCCAACTGCTTCTGTTTACAAGTACAACCAAGCAGGATATGACAAAACATCTTACAATAAAATCATCTGTTTAATTTTTTAAAAAACCAACTTTCTGGAGAGATTCCATATTAGGATGAAATTTAGCAGCTGTATGAAACTACTTTCAGTTACTAACCCCCCAAAACTACCTTTGCCTATAGCAAAATGTAAGTGCTTATACATATACATTTCTTTGATGCCATTAAAGATTTATTTATTTTAGAGAGAGTGGGAAGGAGGGGCCGAGGGAGAGTGAGAGTCTTAAGCAGACTCTGGCTGAGCTCGAAGCCTGACGTGGGGCTAGATCTCACAACCCTGAGATCAGGATGTGAGCCGAAACCACAACCAAGAGTCAGATGCTTAACTGACCACGCCACCTAGGCGCCCCTTCTTTGATGCCACTGAAGATGTTAATATAGGGGCACCTGGCTGGTTCAGTCGGTAGAGCATGCAGCTCTCTGATCTCCAGGTTTTAAGTTTAAGCCCCACGTTGGGCATAAAGCTTTAAAAAAGTTAATATTTGTTGTTCTGGTTTTATTCCTGAATTAAGAAAATGCTTGTCCCTTTTCATTGATAAAACCATGACTTGCACATTTATCTACTAAATATCATGGTTCAAACATTAACAAGGCCAGAGCTAGGTCATCCCAGTGAACTGAGTCAATTCCTGCAGAAATAGTCTGCGTTTTATGTAGACCTTTAGTCTGTAAGATGCTTCTTGAGCTTTTTATGTTATTTTGGTATCATTTAAGGGGCACCTGGCCGGCTCAGTCGGTAGAGCATGCCACTCTTGATCTCAATGTCGTGAGTTCAAGCCCCACGCTGGGCACAGAGTTCACTTAAATTACAAGAATAGTACAGTGATTCCCCATTATGCTCAACAGATTCAAAAGTTTACATTTCGCCCCTTTATTGTTTGTGCATCTTCTCTTCAAACATGCACTTTAACATTTTAATTTTGTTACTTTTTGTAGAAAGAGTGCAAGTGGGGGGGAGGGGCAGAGAGAGAGGGAGGGCGAAAGAGAATCTTAAGCAGGTTCCACACCCAGCGCAAAGCCTGACAGGGGATTCGATCTCACAACCCTGAGATCGTGACCTTCAGCTGAAATCAAGAGTCAGACACTTACCTGACTGAGCCACTCAGGTGCCCCTGTACCTAAATATTTTAATGTAGATTTTTTTAAGAACAGACATGCTCATATTAACCGTGGTACAATTATCAAAATCAGAACATTTTAAGACTGGCCCAATTTTCTAGTCCAGCCTGTTTCATCAGTTATCCCAAGTGTCTTTCATAACACTTCTTCAAATTGTCCAGGATCCAACATAAGGGCCATTTATTGTACTTAGTTGTGTCTGTGTAGTGTTTTTAAATTTGGAATGGTTTGTCACTCTTCGTCTTTCATAACTTTAATATTCTCTGTGTGTGTGTTTATTTTCCACCCATGTTCACTGAGGGCCTGGAACCCCTGCTACTATAGTAGCAGTGAGCACACCTGAGTACCCAGATCTTGATTTCAATACTGAAAGGAACCAAGGCTCCTTGGAGAAACGTTCAACTTCAGGGCTGGGGGTAGAAAAAATACAAGATGAAGCTGAAACCTTCTGTCGTGCCAGAAAGAAAGGAAACCTCAAAAAATGATGACTGCATGTCAGAACACTGGAGCCACTTAAAAGGTTCTTCCTGGTCAAATGTGTATCAAGTAGATTATGAAAAGTACTAATTACAATACAACACAAAATATCAATTAATTAATTAATTTAATAAGTAAAAAAAAACCCCAGGTGCCTGGATGGCTCAGTTGGTTAAGCAACTGTCTTTGGCTGAGGTCATGATCCCGGAGTCCTGGGATCAAGTCCCACTTTGGGCTCCTGGCTCAGCGGGGAGCCTGCTTCTCCCTCTGGCCCTCTCCCCTCTCATGCTGTTTCTCTCCCCCTCTCTCTCAAATAAATAAAATCTTTAAAAAAAAAAAGTAAAAACCTTTCTAAATTAAACATTTCCCTGATACCAAACTGAAGGATCAACAATCATTAATGGGAACTTTCAAGCAAATAAATACCCACCAGGGAACTTCACTTCAGAAAACATGTATATATTGTGTTTATAAAAGAAACTAACTTAGGGGCACCTGGGTGGCTCAGTCATTAGGCGTCTGCCTTCAGCTCGGGTCATGGTCCCAGTGTCCTGGGATCGAGCCCCACATCGGGCTCCCTGATAGGCAGGAAGCCTGCTTCTCTCTCTCCCACTCCCCCTGCTTGTGTTCCCTCTCTCGCTGTGTCTCTCTCTGTCAAATAAATAAATAAAATCTAAAAAAGAAACCTAACTTAAAATAGTACATAAAAAAATTCCAGTGCATTTGGTTTATATTCCATTATAAACATGATATACCAAAATAACAAGTTTACTCACTTGTCTTTTAGCTTCTCTCAGTTTCCTTTTGAGGGCTGTCAAAATTCTTTGTACTTCCCATAATCTTTCTTCTTTAGATAAATCCTTTATTCCAGCCTGCAGATCTCGATGTAAACAATTCAAAAGAAACTCCTAGAAAACAATATACCACACACTGAGTGGTGTCCCATGTCTTATCATCCTAAAATAAAACTACATGCAATTTCTAAAGATGTACAACCAACTATCTTTCAATTATCATTAAGGGAATGAAATCATGGCATGAATAATTTTTTCAAGCATATGACTGAAAAATCCTTTTTTGCATGGGCACTGGGTTCTCATCATTAATTTACATTGGTTCAGTAACAGTTCGTTCATATCCCTTCCCACAACACATCAACAATTAATAATGGGAGCTCAGAGTAGATAAAGGAAAGAAAACCAAACAGGAATTTTTTAACATGTATGCAAATAAAAGACGTAATAATCATCAAATATAAGTAGATTTCTCAGTCCTGAATTTCTTAATCAGTTTTGCTAAACACACACACAACTAAATGAACTATTTCTTCTATCAAAGTAGCACAATGGAAAAGCACAGGATTTGGGGTCAAATCCCGGTTCTATAGTTCAGTAACCATGTGGCACAGAGTCAGTTATTTAATTTCCCCAAATTTCTTTTTAGCTGTAAAATATGGCTGGTAACAGCAACCTTGTCCAGATAAGTTAACATTTTTGGACTCCTTACAACGTGCCTAGCAGCATTAGCTCATCTATGGTAATAATCTTCACAACAAACCATGAAATGACCCATTTTAAAATGGGATCACCAAGGTTGCCTAAAAATCAGTCAGCTAATTAGAAACCTAGGAAGAACTTAAAGCCAGGTCTTCTGATTTCAAAACCTGTGTTCTTTCTACAATATTCTGACTTCACTGGCATGAAACAGTGCCAGAGAGAAATTTTTGCCTTCGGTGTGCCATGAACAATGTGTCTAACATAGTTCCAGACACACACAAATGCTCAGTGAACAAGAACTCCTCCTCCTAACCATCACTGTCAATCATCATAATCATCCAAAAGTGTCAGAGCAAAGGTAGGCTCTTTAGGGCTGAAGCGTGGGGCTGAGCACACACACCTGTCTTCTGATCTCCTCCTTGATGTTCTCCTGGGTCTCTGGCAGTGTGGGCATAGTGGCCATGTTAGACCATCGAAGAGGTTTTGTCACTTGCTTTAGTATCACATTTCCAAAGAGCTCTTGCACATGTGTGAAAAACACATATAGGACACGATTGCTAATCTAAGAAAAAATAAATAAAAAGATTTGCAAAAAAAAAAAAAAAAAAACCTATTCAAATTATCATTTCATTTAATTTGTGTCTGCTGCATAGTACATCCTTTAATCCTAGATATGGGAATGACGGTTTTCCTCAGTAGTGACCAGACATGCTTGCTAATTAGTGGCCAACTGAAAGAAAAGAATGGAAAAGTAGTAGGAGTTCAGTCATGTATTCAAGCACCATAAGGAACTGGGGAGAAAAAAGGACAGGAAAAAGGATGTAAAAGTCGCTAACCATCAATTTGCTCTTTTTTAGCAATATAATATTAACTGATTTAAAAAATCTTATATTCTTTATTCTCAAGTTATTTTGAGACCTTTTAAAACACACAAGTGGATCCACTGAGGAATATGAAGGAAGTACGAGCACTTGCAGTTGTTAAGCTGGGCTGAGTACAAGAACCCTCACTCCAGAAACGAACGCCTTCTGGGCACATCTGCACAGCCAGTGTTTAAATATGATGTTCATATGCTAGGAGATCAGGACATTAATTACTGTCTACTTAAAATTTACAATACACTTGAACCTTCTATGAAATTATTGTCCTGTTATAGTAATATCAAGTAACAATGTCATATTTACCAAATTCTGAAATCCTGACTAGTCTGAACGATCAAACTGAAATCTGAGCAAGATTTTACTTCCAAAACACAATCAATGAACAATCAAAGTGTAAGAAAAGACACTCTTACACCAGTGCATTATAACAATGGCTGACAATAACCTAGTATATTGGCCAAAAAGAGAGCTTAAAATAAAAATACAACCATTACTTCATTTCTTTGTCTTTTGTGTCTGGCCTCAATAAAATATCAGTAATTCTAATGGAAGGAAAATATATGCTCTGTGCCAGCACCAAGTGAGCAGCAATAAATGAAGGCCAACTATTTATGTTGTAAAGAGGCACCACTTAACACAATACCCAGTTCCCTGAAATGCCTCCTCAGATTAAATTTCTCTAACACCCTTCCCTAGGATCTATCTTCATGAATGAAATCACCAGGTTAAATCCCTGACCAAACCAAATGATGTTAGGCCCCTTTGTGCCTGAGTCTGATATGTGGACATGATATAATGATGCAATAATGCTATTGGAAAAAATAAATGAAATCTTTAAAATTCTATGGATGAACTCTGTAATTGTGGGTACCATGGGCTCCTCCTCTATTCATGACGGATCACTGTCATCAGAAACTGGTTTAGAAACCCACAGCAAAGACTGTACAATACTCAAATTACAAAGCTACATGCTGGTCATATGATGACACTGTCCATATTCTGAAAGAAAAAGACCAATATTCAGGCTAATCTATTGTCTACATTTGCTGGTTAACTGCTTTGTATGCGACTCAGCAACAGAAAATGTCTCCAACACTCCCCAGGGTTAGCATCAGAGGGCATGTGTGCAGAGAAGGCCATGTACCTGAACGGTTGGGCTGAGCACTATAGAAATGTTCTGTATATTCATTTTTGTTTCCAGTTCCTTCGCGATAACATGGTCCATGTGCACGATCAGCCAAGAAATCAGAAGATAGTTACATTCTGGCAGTTCTTTGAGCAGGCGCTGGAATTCCTGCACCTTCTCGCTCTCTGTGCTCCTCCCACAAGCCTCCTCAAAGCGAGGCATCAGCTCTTTGGTAAGCAGATTCTCTGGAAGGTCTCGCAAATACTGCTTCAACAAACTGGCTACGGTGTTAGGCTCATATTCTTCCAAATTTGGAGACTCTTCTCTGTCATATGCTGCTTTCAGCTCATCCACCTTTGATTTAATTCCTAAAAACATTCAAATTAGAAAGAGAATATCAAGAAAGTAATCAAACACAGCTTTTTTCACCATGGCACCAACTCCTAGGGGGAGATCTAAGGAGAGCCAATCTGACAATAACAAATCTCCAGTTATGAAGTATTTATCTGCTTAAGGTGCATACAATTCCTCTATAAAAGAAAATAATATGAAAAACTACACTGTAGTTTCCCCATCTAATTTCTATTTTTAAGTTCAAATTGTTCTGTTTCCTTAATCTGGAACACAGCTGGAACAACCAAAAAAAAATGAAACTTGGGTTTCTAAAATCAAATTGTTCTGCTTTTCTTATTGGGCAGAAAGAAACACTGACACACAAAAAGACTGTTTTTCAAACATTTTATAAGTTTTTAAGTCCTTAGTCCAATCTGCATGTAAGTGATGTGGATTCAGTGCCAGTGACTGCTCATAAAAGTACAAGGTAGCTTCCTGTAGCTTGATACTTAAAACTTCAGGCCAATTATTTGAAACAAGCCACAGATTAAGGCCGAGAGACTATAATGGTTGATGCAAATACTCAAGTGTCATCTCATCTGAACAGCATTTTATAATCAATAGTGCTTACATCCGGGCTTTGGCGTTCCTTATCTTATGTGAAAACCTTCCATTATAATAAGTCTGTAAATTATCCAGCACTGACAAAATAAAATCAGTAACTCTAAGTATGAAAGTAAGAAGATAAAGCTTATTTTTATATAATCTTCATTTTGAGGCAGAAAAGTTAGAAAATAATTCTCATTTTCTTTGTTTTTTTAAGATTTTATTTCTTTCTTTACTTATTTACTTGGGGGAGGGGAGGAGCAGAGGGAGAGGGACAAGCAGACCTGGTGCTGAGTGTGGAGCCTGACGTGGGGCTCGATCCCAGAACCCTGAGATCACAACCTGAACCGAAATCAAGAGTCAGATGCTTAAACCAAAATCAAGAGTCGGATGCTTAACCAACTGAGACACCTAGGTGCCTCAGTAATTCCCATTTTCTAATTTTTATGACAATATGAGTAAAACATAGTGAGTGATAACTTCAAGTGAAATTCTTAGCAAATACCTCCTCTCTCTATTTATATGTATCTGATTTTTCTCCCCCATATTGCTTACCCAGAAAACTACACAAGTAAACAATTAAAATATGTGTTTGGTTTTTTGTTACTCTGAAATTATCAAAATGTTTTCTAAGAATTGGACACTTCAAATAAAATGTCCTAGGTAGAGAAAGAGCATATCCAAAATGACACATATTTGTTTTAAAACTGGAACTTACATATGAATAAGCAAGAGCCAAAAATCTCCAGCAAACAGTATTATTATGGGCATTCAAAGAAGGAAAAGTCATAGAAAAGTCACAACCATAAACTCTAATCTACAGCAGCACACTGTTAGAGCTTAAAAAATAATAAAAAATTGATCAAAGCAGCAGCTCAGCCTCCAGGAGTCAATGATAAGGGGAACAGCTCTGTTTGAATGCTCTGACACACAAACAGAGGAGTTCTGTGACTCTGACTCTCCAAAAGAATGCAAACATCAAAAATAGGTCAAAGACAAAAGAATCCTTTGAACAAAGCTGTAGAAACTCTTCAGAGAAACTTTCACCTAAAACAAAATTCCTTCCTGCCTATCAAACTCATGTGAGAGAAGCAGCTATGTTAGTATTGTTTAAATCTTTACAAATCAATTCATCATTAGTTTTAAAAGTCAAATTTTCAAATTCATTTAAATGTGTTTATTTTCATGTTACTAAAGAGTTATAAATTCAAATTCAATACCTAATTTGTGGATTTTATTTTCTATAAAATGGTAGCATGTTAGCCAAAATACTCTTAAACGATGACATGCTATCTAGGGGACTACGTAAAGGGTTCCCAATTACCAAAGATGCCTGTCCCTTCCCAAAAAAATCAAAAATATCAAATCTGCCCTCTAAAAATGTGTAAGAACCAAACAAATGGAAAAACCCCATGTAATCTCTCTATATTCCAAATGTGTATGATTTGATTCATCATGACCAACATGTGATCAACAACAAGTTTTATAAAAGAGATCTCCAGTATTAAGAAACTGAATCACAGGAAGGTAATGGTTTGGAGCACAGATGTTGCCACAGGGCAGGACTACCACCCTATACAGTACAAAGGGCCTACCACTTTAAGAAGCATCATCTTTTTCCTTTAAATAGTATCATAGTAAACATTTTGCTTGATTTTAGACACCCGAATGAATTATATTCTTGCCAAATATGAAATTTAAATCTTCACACGTAGGGAACATAAATAAATGGAAAAATCAATTTCACTAATCTATGTAATAGCTGCAGGTGGCTGACAAAAGCATTCGCCTTTGGGGCCTAAACATTTAGCAAAGAACATTTGCATGTCCCTTATCCCAACTCAGGAAATAGGATTGTGTCAGTAAGTGTCTTCTGGCCAAGAAGAGTCCTCCCCACTGCTCCTCTCCCTCACAACACTGAGCCCGGCTCAGAGAGGCAGGAGGTGAGGGGAATAAAGCCCAGTCTGAGCGCACCAGAGGGAAGAGATGCTACTCATGTGCTTCGCTTAGACTCAGCCGGCCTGCAGCAAACTGTGAACAACTCGTGTGGAAAGCGTCCTGATGGAGGGGAGTATTATTAAAAAAGCAAACTGTCAACACACACACATGCCCGCGTGCTGTGGGGGATTTTTGTTCAACTGGAAGGATTGAAGAAATGAAGACGACTTAGGACCCATGCCACAGTTTTCCTCACAAGCCAATTATTTTCCTTCCTTTGAAAAACGGAAATGACTTTTAAAACCCGCCGGAGAGAAGTGAGCGTCCCCAGTACCTGAAACTCTGTAGATGCCTTCGCACTTCATGCCGTACTTCTCTACGTGATCCACGCACTCGCGGAAAACCGCCGGCAGCCGGATGCCGTCGTACATCATGGTCCGCTCGGCCGCATCGGTCAAGGGAACTCCAAAAACGGGTTTGAGATTCGGAACGTCAATCTGAGGCACCTCTGGCTCCTGAATTGGCTTCTTCTTTTTCTTCTTTTCCTTCCACTGTTTAACAACATCAGCTGCTGTCAAGTCTTTTGACTTCTTCTCTTTATGTTTCTCTTCTTTGTGCTTTTCTTCTTTATGTTTTTCCTCTTTGGGTTTCTCTTTTATTTTAAAATCCTTCTCTTTCTTTTTAGAAAAGCTGGGCTTCTTAAAAACATGGATTCCCTTGGACCGCTTCATTTTGGAAGGACTTTCGGCTTCATCTCCAGAGCTATCTTCCTGAAAGGCAGCATAGCCTTCAGCTGCGACAGAAAAGCAGGAAACAGAAGTCATCTATCTGTTTAATGTCAAACCGACCATAAACTTTCTAAAAACAGGACCCCCCCCCCCCAAAAAAAAGTGCTACCAGGCACTGGCTACCTCACTTTTCACTTCCTGGCCAATCCCTCCTGGGTACTGCCAGTAATGAAACGGGTTTCTGCTCCGGGAAAACGAGATGCGGCAGTGACATCTCCAGACCACAAAAGGGGGAAATGCAGAGTGTCAGTTACCTTTACAACTGGTTTTAGGTGGAACTTTGGCAAACGAAATTATGAATACACCACAAAGGATCTACAGAGATGGCTAATAGAAAGAGTCCTTCTATAATATAGAGCGTTTTTTCATCATCTGACCATGTCCTCTTACTTTAGATTTTTTTCATCTATTTGGTCCCTGTAACTGGAAGCAGTCTGACACCATGACACAAATGGCACTGCTGTTTGGACGCTCCAGCCCTTCCCTGATCACACCCCGCCCTCCTGTCACTAGCTGTTAGGTTCTTTCTGGAGACTGCAGCAGGGACTGAAACCTCATTAGGGTGGAGGACAGAACCAGGAGATTCCCTAATCTCTGGATGGTGGCCAAATGTATCAGCCCATTTCTCCGCATCACAAGCCTTGGTTTCCACACTGATACTTGCTTGATATCATATTAGAGCTATCCTAGCTTGGTTTCGTCGCCTCCAAATAGAATTCTCCTATTCTTTTCTTTAGCCAGCTGCCTTACAAGCTATTTCATAACAAAGATTAAAAATATTTCACAAATTACCCTCTATTTAAAATACCACAAACTCCACACCATCCATAAGGGCAGAAACCCTAAGGGCATGACACCATGATATAAAGCCAATGTAGTTCTCAGACACTGCTTGTGTGAGTGTAAACTGGTACAACCACTCTGCGAAATTGTTTTGTGCAGGATCAACTAATGCTAAAATGAGCATGGCCTATAAGAGAGCAACTCCACTCCCAGGCATACACAACAGAAATGTATAAATGACCTACAATGACACTCACAGAAGCCCTATTCATGAGCCAAAAATGAAAACAACCCAAATGATGAACAACAGCAGAGTAAATTCTAGTATATTAATGCAATGAAACAAAATCCACCAATAAAAATGAACAAATTACTGCCATATGGAACAACATGGATGAATCTAACAAATATAACTGGGAAAAAGAAACTAGATGCAAAAGGAAATATACTTTCATTTAGATAAATTCAAAATCAGGGAGTTTCAAGCTATGCTGAAATAAGCTTACCTTTGGGAAGGGTGGGGGATTTCCCTTGAAGGGATAATGGAAGGGAATTTCTATGATGCTGATAACACCCTATTTCCAGATGTTTATAATTACAAGGACATATGTCCATTTTGTGATAAGTCATTCAAATTATAATTTGTGCATTCTAACCTCAATGTTATGCTTCAAAAAACATATTAAAAATACCATAAAACTCGGGCGCCTGGGTGGCTCAGTTGGTTAAGCGACTGCCTTCGGCTCAGGTCATGATCCTGGAGTCCCTGGATCAAGTCCCGCATCGGGCTCCCTGCTCGGCAGGGAGCCTGCTTCTCCCTCTGACCCTCCCCCCTCTCATGTGCTCTCTCTCTCTCATTCTCTCTGTCTCAAATAAATAAATAAAATCTTTAAAAAAAAAAACTACCATAAAACTCAAAATAAAGCAATACTTAAAATAACTCACCTGATCTGCTTTTAACATACTAAAGAGCTATGCTTAAACAATTCATCTTTCCTACTGAATAGGAACTATAAATAGAATGCATTATGGCATTTGCCTAAGACAAACAAGTAACTACTTTTTTCACAGTTCCAATAAAGTGTAGTACCCTAACTGGCTTACACAACCTAGCCAAGAAAGTAATATTCTATATAAGTAAAATTCCAGTATCTACTTCTTATATATTATTTAAAAAAACCAATATAAGAAACTTCCACCAGAAAACTTTACCATTTCTGGAAATTTGGTATTTTTATTTTCAAGAGGAAGACTCTAAAATATAACTAGTATACAAAAATTGAGACCCAGAAAAGTAAAGAACAGAAAATGTCAAACAAGAGTCTTTTTGGACATATTCCCAGAAGATAGGTACACAGGATTAAAGTAAGAGTTTATCTAAAATATATCAAAAGCATAGGGAAAAATGGCACTTACTCCTTTTTTCTTTTTTCTTAAATTTTCCTTTTTTCTTCCCATGGTCTTTCTCATCATCAGACACTATGTCAGGAGGTTCATGGAGGCTGTCGTGGGGAGGCGAGGGCTCGCCAGTACGGTACAAACCAGGGAACTTAGTAGGGCTGATCTCCTCAGAGCTGGGGGTTCGGGTAAGACCACTGCCATGCTCCACCCTGCGGTGTTCACTGGGGCTGCTGGTGGGGGGCAGGAAGCACTCAGTCATTCTGCCTCCCTGACGAGACAGTGAGGAGGGTTTCTCTGTTACCTATCCATTACACCTGCACATAGGGAGAAAAGGTCATCAATACCAACCAAAACACAAAGGCACCACACACAAAAAAAACATGGTGAGTAATCTTGCATTTACAAATAAAAAATATTTCTCTTCATGACCCCTCTTTAAAAATATTCATTTTATCATCCCAAGTTATATTCCCTTCATAACACATTTCAGTTCTCAAAGAGCTTTCATAGAATGCAATAGCATCTTTAAGTATTAGAAAAATAAACCAAATTAAAATCAGAGTTCTCAAAGTAGTATACAGAGTTCCTTTTACAAAGAAGTTCCCATTGTAAGGGGTTTCATTTTAATTGCTCTATCCAACATAAAATCTTACTATTTTCCTTTAGGTTATGAACAACTACAAATAATAAATTACAAAGACAACTTATATAGCTACATGTGAATAGTTCAGAATCATAATTAAAATTTACAATAACTGTAGGGATATATTTGATGATTCACACAATTATAGATTCTTAATTATAGTTCTGTATTGCATGATATTAAGTCGTTTGTGTGTTGATAATAACTATTTTATTTTGTACTGCAATTATACTGAAAGAAACAAGGGAGCCCTTATTTGCTCAATCCTAAAATACAATAGATTCACTAGAATGGACACTGCAAAGGACAAACACAGTAAGAATTCAAAATCTGTTCACTTTTTCTTCCTGAGTCAGAGGTTAAGCAGTCTACATACAGTGTTCAAAAGTTACTTGGATTAGTTCTTATTCCTCTTTAATATCCTTATGGTACTCACTTGGAAAACTATTAGAATCAGTTGGTTCTCTCTGCACTTACTTTTTAAGGTAATTTTGCAATTTAAAAAATCCCTAAGCCCTAAATGACAAGACCAATAAATCTGACCATGAACACGGTCAAGACAAGCAAATGCAAAAAAAAAAAAAAAAAAATTGCAATTTGCATCAGCTAAGCTGTTTAAACAGCAAATAGTTCTTACAAATCAGTAAAAATACGAACAATTCAAGACACCTACACCAAGGATATGATGTAACTCATAGAAAAATGACTAATATCCATATGAAAATAATGTTCAAGTACAATTCTAATTTTTAAAGCATAAACTAAAACAGTAAATTACCATTTTTCTAACATCTGACTGGCAAAGAACAAAAAAGTACATAATACCCAATGTTGGTAAAGATATAAGCAAAGAGGGACTCATGAGAATATCTACTAATAACAGAAGTATAAATTAGCACAATCTTTTTTGAAAAGCAATTTGGCAATATCTATCAAAATACGAAATGTGCTCCCTGATCCACGCATTCCTTTTAGGAATTGATCCTTCAGATATACTTTTGTAAGAATTCAAAGACGGGCACATGAAAATATTCATTTCAGCACTGTAAAAGCAAAAACGTAATAATCTTAATGGCTATCCATAAAAGATCAAATTATGATTTATCCACATAATGGAATATAAATTAATACACACAATTTCTGAAAGCATGTAAGAAACAGTTAACTACTGTTAACTCTTGGAAGTGGTAAAATGGGAGGGAGAGAAAGATTTTTTTTTTATTCCTTCTACATAGTTTGAAATTTACCATGTCTTTTTATTACTTTTATTACAATTGTTTAAAAAAAATGCACAGGTCGTGTTTTAATTTCACAAAAATCCTGCAGCATTTAAAATGTTGTTGATACTATTTAATAATGTGGGGAAAAACAACTTTATTTATAGCACAATATCAATATTTAAGTATATAAACACACATGCAAAAAAATCCTAAGAACGGGGTGCCTGGATGGCTCAGTCGGTTGAGTATCTGACTCTTAATTTCGGCTCAGGTCATGATCTCAGGGTCGTGAGATTGAGCCCTGCATCAGGCTCTGTGCTGGACGTCTAGCCTGCTTGGGGTTTTCTCTCCCTCTCCCTCTGCCCCTCCCCTCCCCTGCTCACATACATGCACATTCTCTCTCAATTAAAAAAAAAAAAAAAAAAAAAAACCTCCTAAGAACCAAGAGAATGTTAATAATTATCTCTGAATGATAAGATTATAAGTGACCTATGTTTTCTTCCTATCTTCCTGCATTTCACAATTTTTCTACCAAGTATGCATTATTGCTAATATAATAAGGAAAACCTAAAAAAGGGCAGAAAGTTCCATTAAAGGATCTATAAGCATCACTCTAATTCTTCTGTTTTTCTGTTTGGCTATTGTTTTTTAGAAGAACAGGCTATTTTCTCTTCAACCAAAGGCATCATAAGTTTTGACAGTTACAGGATTAGAGAGTTTAGGGGAAGCTAGAGCCCAATAGCGTGACAGTTACACATTACAGGTAAGGAAACTGAGCTCCAAGGACCAAGAAAGCCAGAATACAGCTGCCAGGAAGGAGCAAACCTGTAAACTACAGAAATAAACCCGCTTATAGGCATGCCTTCCACACTGAGCCATTCTGTCTTATGCTCCCCTGGCTTTGCGCATGCTATCTTCACTCCCAGGAAGCCAGCCCTTCCTTTCCCGCACTTCTGCATGGCCAATTCACACCCATCCTTCACCACGATGCCTGAAAACGGGTATGAGGAATCTTTTGGAAGTGATGGAAACGGCCTAGATTTGGATTGTGGTAATGGTTACACAAACCAGTTGATTTACTAAAAATCACTGAATTACACACTTAAAGTGGGTGGATCTTATGGTATGTAAATTATACCTAAATAAAGCTGTTCTAAAAAACAAACAAACAAAAAACCCAGGAACAATTACCAGCAACACTTTATCCAGGAATCCTCCCTCATCACTCCTTTTCTGTGCTCCCAAAATCTCCGGAACACACCTCTAGCACTGCATGCACTGTGCTATTTTAATTGCCTGGGCACCCATCTGTCCTGTCCAGCAAATTTGTGAGCTCCAGCATTTAACACAACACAGGGCATTACAGGAGGTACTCAAACATTTACTTAATGAACTAATTAGTTTCTTCCATGTTCTCAACATATTGTGTACTGCTGATGAGACAAAGACTAGAAGAAATGAACGTGACTCTTAGCCTTACATTTTAATTAAGGAAACAGAGCAATGGAGCCCAAATTTTATTTTATTTGAATTCCTGTGGCTTCAGCAACATTCACATACATTAACTTCCTTAGTACATCCTGTGAGAAAAGAAGTACTTCTCCATGTTCACAAACAGGGGAGCTACGGCTCAGAGGGCCACAGTAACTTACCCTAAGTCACACAGCAAGAAGTAAAACCGGGATGTACCCTGGAGCATACACTACACTGCCCTTCGTGTCTAATACCCAGAAGAGAGTACGTGCATGCCAGGAGGAACGGCGTGGTACAGACACAAGCAGAACCAACAGGGCTTATTTGTGGGATGGCAGCAAGCCAGTCTGATGGGAGCAGTTCCTGGGAAGAAGGATAGGAAAGGCATGGAAAGACAAGGTGGGTCCTGAACTGAATGCCAACTGAGTGCCCAGCTGAGGACGTCAGCCTTGATGTGGGAGCCAAGTCATCACTAATTCCAAAGCCAGGAAGTGACAAAACTGGAAGTAAGAGGAGTAAGGGCAGGAAAAGGTACAACCAAATGCCATACAGATTTGGGTCATTCTCTCCTGTCCTGCAGCATTTTGTAACTTATGCCTACATGCACATGTTCTCCCAGTTCATTTATTACGATTACTCAGTTTCCATCCTAGACTGATGATGAAGACAGGTTTGTTCATAAAGCGTTCAATAGATTATCCTGCAAAAACTACTCTAGACAAATATTTGTTGACTTGCTTCCCCTATAGTTGGGAATGAATAGAAGGAAGGGCAGCAGCTAACAGCATACATGAAGGGGTGAAGGCCTGAATGCAGGATGATTTAAAATCAACAGCACGTTTCCATTAGGACACACTGTTTGGAGCACTGGGGAGCCACAGCAAACCTAAACTTCATCAAATAAAAAGGCAGAAGAGGCCTCAGAGGGTCCATGGTAAATTTGAAGCCAAAGGTAATAAAACAAAAATTAAAAATTCCTACTTCTAAAGCAACAGAAAAACTGATGTAAATTTGTAAACATTTGAAGAAAGACTACTTATCCCCACTCCTCTTGGTAAGTACAACTAAAAATCCTGGATATTAGAATAAAAAAAAAAATGACAGCAGACTGACAGGTAGAGAAGAAGCTGGTAGTTTAGGGACCTCAGGATTCTAAGAACAACAGAGTTGGGAGATCCTGGAGTTTCCTTTTTGTCTCTACATCCCAGACTTGGAGCTCACGAAGTCCAAAACCCAGAAACACTGATGGGCATAGATGAAACAACAAAAGCCGCCTCTCTCTAGCCAAAGGACCAGGAAAGGGGCTGCCCTGCAAGACAAAACTTTTAGGTAATAGTGGAGTTAGTAAATAGCTCGAGGCAAGCACCAGGAAAAATCTGTAGCCGTGCCCCCAACCACACCACTAAGAGGGAGATTAGATTTGCACCCTCACAGAGTGCCCAGGTAGAGAGCTGGGCCTTTCACACCTGCCAGCGGGTAAGAAGGCTGGGCTCTTACAAGGGTGTCAGTGGAGACCATGTGAAGAATCTGGACTTGTACCCCCAAACTGTAAGTAACTAAGCCCCACTCCATTGCTGCTGGGTAGTCTCAGAGGAGGCCTAGTGAAGAGTCAGGATTTTCACCATCACCCAGTGGTAATGAGGCTATCCCACTTCAGTGTCAATGGACACCACATGGGAAGCCAGAAGCAAAAGAGGAGAAAAGAAAACCTCCAAAGAAAAGATTAATTACACAGAAAACAAATTGCAATTTAGAATTAAAACCAATAATTACATTACATGCAATGGACTAAGTATTCCAATAAAAAGGCAGAGAGAGGGGTGCCTGGGTGGCTCAGTCAGTTAAGTGGCTGCCTTCAGCTCAGGTCATGATCCCAGGGTCCTGGGATCCAGCCCCGCATCGGGCTCCCTGCTCCATGAAGAGCCTGCTTCTCCCTCTCCCTCTGCCTGCCACTCCCCCTGCTTGTGCTCTTGCTCTG